ATCCGTGCAACGACTACTGCGCAACAGTCATCATTACATAGCTGAAGATTACATCAACGCAGGCCTAGTTTAATAAAAGTCTAATTTCAGTATTTAAGTGAAACTCAATTCATTAAGCAAAATGAATATCTACCACTGTGGTCCAGCGATCAGGATTGAAACCGGCAGATGAACATCCACATCAGCATTAAGACGCTTTATCGCATCGCCCCACCTGCCACATTTTGGCCACCAGCAGCTGCCAACTTTTGTCCAACCTTTACATTCACTTCGAAGAATTTAGCTACACATCGATCAATGCATACTGACTCGCCCTTGGTCAATTCGGAATCATGGTACTTGGGGGGTATACATTTGTTGTGACAAGAGTTCACAATACTATTTGTCATAATACCAAGATTATGATATAAATAAAACCCCAATTTGCACGATATAATATGTTAGTGAACGAATGACTCGCCGGCACAAACCAATATAGGATAAAATGAAGAGATATACCGATTAAACATATCCGTGACCATCTCGATTTCTTGCTCTGCCATTGCCACATTGGCGGAAAATTGATCTTGCTGCGAACCGAGGAAATTCATGATTTATATACGAACTGACTATCTTATCACCACTTGCGAAGAACCGAAATTGGAGGCACACTGCCATCACCGACGCTTTTTGTTTGGTAGCACGTGATTCGCAAATCGCTGTGCATCGCGAAAGATGGAACGACTGTCATTTTGCATTCGAAAGTTCAATTGCGCATCATAAATATACAAAATCCACCGCATGAAAGGGATTCAGGTTGCAAATGCTGCAAAAACAGTCACTTCAAAATCTCAAAAAAGGAAAACTAAAGTTACGAAAGTCGAAAAGAGTGACCCGAAACGTGAGGTCGACCTCTCCATTGCTGACGGTGTTGATACATATTCTTCAAAGGAAAAAATTCATCTGTTGACAAAGGATGTACCTAATGTACTGGTTGATTTTGAGAAGTGGGATGAAAGTGCGCTAAAAGAGCGGTTTGTGTCCATTACTCATGATAATTGACTTGTCAATCGTGTATCACTTTACTCGACACTGAAGAGATGTGGAATCGTTGGACAACCGTAGTGTTATCAGGATGGCGTTAAATATATTATTATACTCACTCCAACTTAGCCTAACGATTTGCTTTTCTCCCGTCTTCTCATGCCAGACTTCACGCGTTAGAAAAAGAATTGCATGATTACAGGGAGAAGATTAATAGATGGTAACTTATCGATTCACTACAGAATAAGAGATCTTTAATTGAATATATTTGATATTTAGTAAGAGTGAGAACATCAGATATCGGCAGGAGATCGAGAACACTGAAACCGATACCGTACGATATTACCTTCGCCCAAATTATGATGTTGCTCATGACTTTCTCCAGATAGGCGGACTACATTTCTTACCTTGAAACCACAAAATCTAAGAAGGAACATACAATTGAAAAATTAAACGTTACTCATCAACAAATGATGGCTAAGTATTTGGAGAAAAAGCAATCACTAGAACAAGAGCATCAGAGTAGATTAACAGGTTTGTAACGCCATTGACAGAACATTGCAAGAAAAAGGATTCTTAAGCTGACAACAGCTTCTCATAAAAGAGTTGCGGAACATTGCGAACGAATTAGAAGAGAAGTTGGAAGCTAAGAAAGCAGAACTTTTATCTTTATCTGATATACTTGTCAGTTACTTTTCTGCTGGTCATGAAGAAGTTTTATTAAAGGATTCAGTTCAGTTTTATTAACATTGTTTCTTTCCAATTGAATCCTGAATTTTACTTTTAACGATTAATTAGGTTCAGCGGCAGCGACATGATTGCGAAATAGAAGCAATCAAGAAGCAAATAACAGAGATTCAAACATTGCAAAATGCTGAGATCATGACTCTTGAAAAGAAACTTATTGAAGAACGAACACGATTGGAAAGAGAAAGCGACGAGAGATTTGCGAAAATGTTGGAACAAGCTGAACAGGTACTATACTTGATTGAATGCTTATTCAGTTTTGGTAATTTTCGTTCCTGCATCTTCGCGAATCTCAATTTGGTCTTCCTTCAATCCCCTCGAACTCTAGCAAGCATGGCAATACTTGACCACACATACCACAAACCTCGCGAACGAAAATAATCGATTGAAGCATGAGCTCAAAAATTCTGCTTCATTGACAAAATCGTATCTCGAGCGAAAAGAACATTTAGAGAAGCGATATCAAGAGCTGTTAATTGACGTCAAAATTCGAGAAAAAATATCCAGACAGTCATCAAGGAAAATAAGTGCCGATGAATCAAGAAATGACTGTATAGATCAGAAACAGGATAGGAAGAATATTTCAAAGAAAGAAGCAAAGCAAGCAGATATTAAGAGAGTTCAAGCAGACAAGGCGGAACCTTTGACCGCGGAGCAACGAAGGAAAGAAGCGTTAAAACATGTCTGTCAGCGGATTGGAATTGAGGAGGAAAGCCGATTCGCAAGAGACAGCGATTCAATTGCACAAATCAATAACAAGGGATCCGAGATATTTTCAAAATGCCAAGATGAGGATTTTGGTGACTTATTGTCAAATTTGAGATTAAAATACTCTCAGGATGAACTGAGAGCGCAAACTTAATTTAATCATTCGAGGAAAATTTATAGGATTTGAGAAACAAACAGAAAATAATAACGTGTACAAATACAAAATGATTGGATCAATCTGAACAATAGAAAGAATTAATTTAATTATAATATTAATACTTCCAAGAATTTCAGTGGCTTCCTACACTTTTACAATTTCTACAATAAAAATACTGTATTCATATCAACTGCTCTACCTGAACTCAACTGTGGTGTTTGACTATACTTGCCCATCAACAATTGCCTCGTGCTTTGGAGAATTTGATTATAAGTTTGATACGGATTATTCTTGATTGTCGTTAATAGACCCCAACTCATAGCACCAGTATGTTGTCCATTAATATGGGTATCGGCACTGGTTTGAGAATCTTTACAACCTGAAAACATGATGACATCTGCTGCAGAAGTCTTTTCATACTCTACTTGTTGTTGAGACTTCTGAGAACCTGGATCGAGGACTGTTTGAGAAAGTTTCGTAACGGACGAGAGAGCACCGAAAACGTTGCCCTTCAATAATTGATTGGCTGTTTTCTTAAGCTCCTTGGCTGCTTTTTTACTTTTGGGCTGTCTTTTCTGTAGTTGACCAGTAGGCAAGTACACGTAAGGAAGATCCAAAGCGGTTCCAGAGTGACAAGAGTCAAAAAGACAACTAAGTAAGAGAACCAACAAGTTAATAAAATGAACACTTCAGAAGTCAGCATATAACACCTACGTTAAGCGAACACCAGCGGGGAGGGGCCGCACAAGGGCTGCATGTAATTGATCATCAACGATGTGGCCGGCAGTTTTAAAATCCAAGGGCAGAATAGTTTCATCGTAACCATCCTCCTCATCACCGTCCTTATCCTTAACACTTCCACCATGTCCGCTAAAGTGAACAAAGAGCTTTAAAGAAATAACGGATCATCAAGTTAGACACATGATAAAAAGGACACGCCAAGTAAAAAGAATACAAACCGAATCACCAGGAGCCGCTCCAGCCACCAACCACTGCATAGCCATCATAATGTTTTGCTTTGTAGGAATTTTCCATGGATCAGTTTGGTCGTCAGTCAAAATTACCATAGTTTGTGGTGATTCGACAAATCCATATCTATCCATCAAAAACTGCTTGACGTTTTGAACATCCTGTATACAACCTCTCAATGCTGCGCTTGTACCCTTATAATTTATACCGATCAGTAAAGCTTTCTTACGTCCCATCATTCTAGGAACGCCATTGATCACTTGGGCATTAGGAGGAAGGGGTAGAGGCTGAGCTTGCGCAGGCTGTACTTGTTGATAATGAAGATGCTGCGGTTGAGAGTGTCCCCACGGCTGAGGTGGAGGAGGGTACATTCCAGAAGACGCAGGAGGAGGGTAAGCGCTGTTAGCGGGGGGATACCCTGCCGGAGGGCCCGCTGATGCTACTGGTGGAGTCGGTAGATAGCCGGATGGTGCTACGCCTGGTTGTGATGCTAACGACAATGAGGAATGATTAGACATCGTCCTTGGAAGCCATCATGTCTATATATTTACCTGGCAACGGCATTGACATGGGAGGGGGCTGCTGATACCCATTTTGAGGATACCCATATGGTTGAGGTGGTTGACCTTCATTAGAGGAGAGCTGTCAATTCTCGATCCCATTCAATTATTTGGTTCAACACATATTCCAACTTACCATAACCGGGGGACGGCATAGGGTATCCTCCCTGGGACGGAGGTTGAGGATAATACTGAGGTTGCTGGCCATAGGGAGGAGGCTGATAATTCTGACCTTGCTGTTGTTGCGGGGGCGGAGGGTTCTGCTGTTGATACTTTGCACCGGGGTACGACATTTTGGCAGTAGATAGAGAGAGTCTGATTATAATGCAAGGGTTGGCACAGCAAGGACTTTATGCAATAACACTGAACGGACAGAGATGTCAGATATATATATCCTTGAATCCAGGGATGACAAACTCAATCCTCGGCTTCCCTGTTACTCAGAAGCGGCTTGGAGCGTGCCTCTGGAATAAGGAGGGCGACCAATGGGCTATTTTTAGCACGCAGCAAGAATATTCTCTTTAAACTATCACAATTCACAATTTAAGTCATCTTTATGCTTTTTAAACATCATACAAGAGAATCACATACAATATGTTTAATTCCTGCCTTCTCTCTGCCTGCCCGAAGGAAGCTCCAGGAACCAGTCAGGAACCCATAATGCTGACAAAGGGGCATAAGTTCCTAACAGACTTCTTAAATCAAGATATACTTTGATTGGCTCCACTTCGTCAGGATGGTAGACAATTACTACAACTTTGAATATATATGAATGTTGTATTGTGAATAGGATAATTATTTATTAATAAAACTTGCAAAGACTACGCTCCATAACTGCTCTAGTGGCGCAATGGTTAGCGCGTTTGGCTGTTAACGGGTTGTTACCAGTCTGTTGTTACCAAAAGGTTGGTGGTTCGAGTCCACCCTGGAGCGTTTTGCCATTTTGTTCGATTTTTTTTAATGAAATACTACTTACTATCTATCGTCTCATTCCTTTAATATTTTTTCAGATTACTCATCTCTATGGTTGCATCTGCTAGTGACACCATATTCAAGCGTGAAAATTAATTGATTAGACGTAGAATAAATACACAGTTTTTGGCTTTGCGCTTAATGAGATTCTACAGGTATAACAGATTCGGCGGAAACAAAATTTCCCGTCACCGCCTATCTCCGCCATCCTCCTGAATTTTGTCCAGAGTCCATTTTTTCAATTTCTCCAATTCATCCTGCGCGCATCTAGTCACCCAAGATCTCCTCTCTTTCCAGCCTATCTCCATCTGCTCACTCTCTTTAATCCAAACGGAGCTGTCGATCAGGTCGCCAAATGTCACTGTCAATTTTTTGAACGGTCTTGGAATCCATGCTTTGTCAAGTGGCATGACAGAAGATAGTCCGTCATGATACAAGGGCAAGATTAGCGGTGGAGTACGGGATTCAAGGATCAATCGGCCGAGTCCCTGGAAATGTGAGAAGTGGGATGGTATTGTCGAGGTAGAAATTGAGAAGAGTTGATATATATTGTTAATGATTAATGACGCTGACAGAGGATGTGAGCTGATGATATGGGGAATATCGACTTGCCCATTTAAAACGTAACATGTCAGGCGACTGGTTTACTTTGCCTTCAGGAAATATGTGAACCTAAAGTCACCACAGTATTAATTCAGTCAGATTGGGAATGGATGAATATAGCTGCGTCCATGAATTGACTTGATGAACCTACCCAATGTCCTTGATTTAGCTTCTCCAGGGCACAGTCCATCCCGACCTGATAAATTCCAGCGCCTCTAACGATTGGTATCACTTGCCCCAAAGAAAAGAATAAGGCTTTACTCCTGAAAATGGTGCTGTCAGATCAATTGTTGAGGAATTCAGACTGAATTAATAAAAGTACGCACGTTGATGAATGGCATATCTCTCTGGCGCCAGTCGACCATCGGATTCTCGAAGGCTGAAAAAGTATCGAGGGAGGCATTAAACCCCAAAGCAATGGATCGTCGATACTAAATGTAGAGCCCAGGGAGGGAAAAGCGTCAGGACCGTTGGAGTCTAAGGCCGGGATTATGAAGATCCATTGACATACGTTGCTGCATGGTTTGACACTGTTTGACAATATTTTTGAAACGATAAGAATGATAGAATTTAGTTTACGTCACAACCACATACGCAACAAATCTTATATGCGTACAGTTTCTGTTATTATTTTTTTTTTTTGGCTACGATAATGCAAAGAGATCACGAACCCGTAATTAGACCCCTTCCTTTTTCACGGTTCAATACAGCACCCACAAAGGTGTCTCGATTATAAACTGTGGTCCTTGTGTATAATTTTATAGCCAACATAGATAAGAACGATACAGTGGATGTGGTGAACGCAGCGGGAATCCTCCAATAGAGTGGAGGTGGATTTCCGATCAAGCAAGGGGTAATTGACGGATGCAGGAGAGGCATGGTGACAACGGAGATAGAAAGCGACAATAAATAAATTAAAGAGGAGTTAGACAAGAGTTGCCTTTTTGGTTAGCTTTTTCTCTGACCGATTGATTCTAAAATTGTGGTTATTGTGGTCATAAAAGGTTTTGCTTTTCCGGAACGGCCAAAGAAACAAAAAACTAAAATTCCCTGATTCCACCTTCCATAACCACAAATTTATTCCTATATCGCTTTATATTTATATTTGAATCTGAAAGATTAGAACTTTGCGATCTCACTATGAATCTCTCATCGCTGCATTCTCAGCTTTCTATTTCCTACATGATACCGTTGATTCGCTCTAGTCATCGCATTTCAGCAATCGGTCGTTCGTCAAAAAGAAAACCCTTCAGCTTAGCGTCGTCCGCCAGCACCCGCCCTTCCAATCGATATTTTAATCATGCTACGCAATCTATTTATAAGGATCAAAGCTATCATGTAAAATTGATTGTACCTATATACCGTCTGCAATGTACCGGTCGAATCCAAAGAAAATGGAATCGCCTTACATCGAAATTATCCCTGCAGCAGAGATTCAAATCGGCCCGTTCATTTGCCCCCATAAGCTATACATCAACGAAGGAAGTTCTTCAACAGAAATGTCCTTCTTGTGGTGCAAAGTTTCAAATCGAGAATGGGTTACACCCAGGTTATATTCCGATTAGCAAAATCAAGTCAAAAGTGGGGGAAGTCGAACAGTTTTTGCAGGAAAAAACTTCTGCCGACAAGGAATCGGAAATCAATTCCCAGGCAGATTCAAGTAAAATCAAACCTTTAGTTTGTATACATTGTCACAATCTCGTCCATCAGAATAAACCCCCGCCCACGCTTTCCTACCTTGCTCCTCCGACTGAGACACCAGAAGCGATCAATCCAGCGTTAGGTCCAACCACTACTGCTATTACCGATCTTTCTACAGCGAGAAATAGCATCATCTTACATCTCGTTGATGTCGCCGCTTTCCCTCTTACCTTCACTCCTCTTGCCAAATCCTTCGGTATTCCTGCCTCGATTCCCACCTTTCACGTTTTCAACAAGATTGACTTATTCCCGCTTGACGTTCCCGTTCCTCGAGTGCATCGATACGTTACAGAATCCCTCGCAAAAATTATCCCTCGCTCACAATTAGACCATGTTCATTTGATTTCCGCTAAATCAGGGATGGGCATAAAAGAACTGTTATCCCAAGTAATGCAATTGAAACTATCAAGGGGTTTAAAAGATATTTATTTGGTTGGGGCCATTAATTCCGGTAAATCAGAGTTCATAAACTGTTTGTTACGGATGAGCAAGGTACCGAAGGGTCTTGGAAGAGGAAAAATCCTGAGCTCCTCAATTCCAGGGACTACTATCGATAGCATAAGACTACCTTTGTCTACCTTCGCGAATACTCTTAACTCCTTACCTTCTTCATCAGTTGCTTCTACATTGTCTTCCTCGGAGTCAATATATTCACCTTCCGCCTCCAGTATATCGACAAAAGGGCACCTGATCGATACGCCCGGTCTTCCAATCGCGAATACAATTCTTCCGTTTTTAGCTTATCCGGAAATTCAGCTGACAACGCCCGTTAAAAGATATAAACCCTTTACTTATAAACTTCCACCGGGAAAATCAGTTTTATTGGGTGGCCTAATTCGGATTGATTATTTGTCGGGTCCGCCAACACGATTTGGTAGAGTAAAATTAACATTTTTCCTATCACACAAGTTGAACGCGCATGTCACCAAAATCGAGAAAGCAGAAAAATTGCTCGATTCGAGATGGAATGTCGGGAATACAGAGTTATTAGTACCACCTATTGGTCTTCTTGACCGGTTGGAAAAATTGCCAAAGTTGAAGGAAGCAGGAACGGTGATTGTTGAAAATAAAGGTGGGGACGGAACAAAAAGTCAAATCGATTTCGTCCTGGCAGGAATTGGATGGTGCAGTGTTACTTGGCCTAAAATAGGTAAGAGAAGAGAAGAGGCTGTTAGGGTTGCTGGGAGTGGGGTAGATGGTGGTGAAGACCGTCGTGGTGGTACGACAATGACATATACTTCGATCATGCAAGAGGCCAGTTCGGAACGAATTCCCCCGGCGGTTTTCAAAGTGTATACCCCGAGTGGTGTTGGTTTTGTGACAAGACCACCATTGTTGCCGTATGAATCAGAGAAGAATGTAAAATTGATTTCGCGATAATATAATTGATTGTTCGCTGATTTCTTTGGGCCGTTTGTGATGTCTGGGTTTTGAACTCTTCAATCCGTTCCAAGCTAACGGGAAACGGAAAGACATCTTAAACTCAACTTCACCAGCGATTGACTCTTAGTGTGTTGACTAAAATGATTACTCCCCCTACTTTGCCGGCAGAGATTCTATCTCTGTTTCAATCAAAGGCGGGATCCCCAATCAGCGAATTCACCTCGACATTAACTCAGCTATCGTATTTCAAGTTCTCTATTTCCTTGAGCCTCATTGAATTGTGTGAATGTAACGAAATTGAGGTTATTATCAAGTCCGTTTTATTCCTCAAAATCTTTGAGATTCCTTTTATCTGGCGGGAATGCACAGTTCGGAAATCACAATTCGACAAACCAAGTTTTTTATGGGACTAATCTAAGATTTTGTGGACAGTATCCTATTCGGCTCACATCTCTGTACAGCCTTTATTATTTATTTCACCCTTTCTCGTTTCCGACATCATTAACGTCATCGATATTGAAGACTAACGAGAAAGCAATAAATATATCGCCGCCAAAATTCGTACCAAAAGAAATTCACCCTTTTCAGTCTTATTTTGTGTGGATCTTGAAAAATGGGTTAGAAGAAGAGAAGAAAATAGTCATATCACTGTTTGATGAAGCGAAAGAGAAAGAAAAAGAAATGGTAAGTATTCTGAATTATAATCCCTGACGAGTTTTGGTTGTTGATGAATCATGATGTAGCTGGGCCAAAAGAATTCTTCGGAGTTGATCTCGCAGCTGAATGATGTGGATATTACTGAGGCTGAATGCAACTCATTAGCTAAAACATTGCAGAGTCAGATAGATTATCAAAATGAGTGGTTTGATAAATTCGACGAAACGCAAGAACGGAGTTATGGCTATGAAAGGTTGGGTTTGCCTCACTATTGTTACAGGATGTAACTCTCGGACAAGGAAGCACTCTACTAAATTTATCCTGTATATCCTGTAGAACCTGGCTTAAAAGACACCAACGTAAAACACGACAGGTATGGATGAAGCGCCAACTTCAACCATGGCTGATTCTAACATTAATTCACCTATCACAGCGACTGTCACCATTAAACCGTAATACACCAGTTTCGTCTGAGTTGTTGGCACTCGTTTCAAAATCCAAAGATACGCCTTTGTCTCCGGAAGAGGAACAGGTAAGTCAGGCAATGATATCTCATCGATCAATGTAGCCTTCTGACATGGTTCATCATCGTAAGGTCTTAATAAAGGACTTGAAGT